AAAAAAAAAAAAAAAAAAGAAAACAATAAGCCACCACGTGGCAATCGGCCATTGCCGATCCAATGACGATGGAGGTTCGACTCGTTGCGCAAAAAGTCACGCGAAAACTCCTCTTCCTCGCACGACCTTCGTTCTTGGGGAACGTCGTTCACCGAGGTCCATCTGCCGTTCGAAACGATCGAATATTCCACGTACGTAGCGAATAAATGTCGCGTCGCCGATACGCCGTAGTGTAATCACTTCCGGATTACCAAACGCGACACGGGGACGTTTACAAAATTGGCCGTCGCCTATCCGACTTCCCCAAATCTAGAGCGTATAGTGTAACAGTAAGCGCGAACAGAGAGGGGCTATGCTCCTCATGCAATATTCACGCGAGCGTTCTGCTCTCTATAATATAACCACGTGGTCGAGACCGATGGATAAATATGGATTCCGATTTATTAATTTTTCTATACCCGTTTATCTTGTAGAAAGAGACGAGATCGATTATTGGATAATTTTAAATTTATTTCATATCTTTATATTCCAAATTTTGTATTGTAAAGCTCGATGTAATTATTAATTGTGAATGAATTTGATTGATCGTGTACGATTGATATCGTTATATTATTATATTCTTGCGCAATTTTTTCCTTTTCGTTTTCGTTCTTATAGAGAATTATTAACTAGAATTATAAGCTGTTATAAGAAAAAAACATGAAAATGCATGAATAAATACTTGTGACGTTGATTTTATTTACATATGCATGATAGGATTACACATCGTTAAGTATCATACATATGTAATTATTTACCCGAAGTCGGGACATTTGCTTTTTATATCTATCTTCAATATCGAGATAAATCTTTTTCCTTAATGCTCAAGTAATCCAGATAAAAAGTGTATCTTAGCTTTAATTTAATATGAAACTGGATTCGTCACAGTAACTCAAATCTCCTCATCTTCTTTTCGAAAAATAGGAAAAGAAAAATTTTCGTAATCGAAAGTATTGTAAAGCTCGATGTAATTATTAATTGTGAATGAATTTTGATTGATCGTGTACGATTGACATCGTTATATTATTATATTCTCGCGCAATTTTTTCCTTTTCGTTCTTAAGAGAATTATTAATTAGAATTATAGACGAAACAAATAAAACCACGATATATAATAAGTAACGCAAAACTATACAAAGAAAGTATTGTGGTATAAATCCCTTATTGACATCTCGTTACCCGGGCGTCACTCTTGTTCCCTCGATCGAGCGCGATCGGTATTAACCACGGGATAGAAAATTATACTCCCATTGGAGGTACACATAGAAATCCCTGGCCTATCGTCAGTCTATTACAGCGGCATGAGCGCGCGCGCGCGCGCGCGAGCACTCGGGTGATGTACGCCTCTGACCCTGAGCGAAAAACCGAGTTCCCCTTCCTCTACCCCCTCCCTCTATCCCCTTCTTCTTTTTCTCTTTCTTTGCCCCGGCGAACGTTACGCCGAGCTACAGCCAGCATCTGCCCCCCACCACCGCGCCGGAGTAACGGAGAGTCAGGGTGGGGGTGGTGTAGGGCCCGCAGTGTATCCGGGTACAACGAGAAGGCCCCATATTCCTTCACCGTTCCCCTTCCCTACCCCCTTTTTTTTTCTATACTCTCCGCGTGTGTTTGCCCGCTTTCAACCTCTTTTTCTCTGCTCTCCTTTTTTTTTTCTTTTTTTTTTTTTTTTTTTTTTTTTTTATTCTTTTTTTCCTGCCCCCGAGAAGTCGACAAGGAGAGATGATAGGAGACTTATGGAGTACACGATGAATGCGGTATTACGTCGATTTAATGTATTTATGGTAGCATGCTTGGGTAGCTAGGCGTCCCTTGGATACGGACTCTCCAACTCTTTCCACGCTGGAAGGGTTTTTGGAAGGGACTCGTTGAGACTTCGATGATAGATTTTCTTTGAGATTCATTGGTGAACGGTTTCTTGATTGAGATTGTTTGGATTTTGGTCTCGAGTGATTTTTTATTATCTTTTGGGCATAACGTTGGATTGTTTAAGATTGTTCTTATGATCGAAGCGTTTCGTTCAGATATATTTTTGGAATTTTATTTTTAAAAAATCAATGATATTTTTATAGTTGTTTGAACTATATACTTTATAAGATTATTAATTTCTTTTTGGAATGAAAATTATTTCTTATCTTATCAAGAAAGATATCATTTTTGGGACTCGCGAGGAAAAATCAAAGAATGGAAAGAATTAACTTTCTCTAGTGGTTAACGTTCTTTGGCTGTAATCTCAGAGATGTTGTTTTTTATTTTAATAATTTATAACCCAACGTTGGTGAACGTGTTGGAAGTTGTTGGCTACGACATTTTGGATATCGATCGTAGAACATGGTGAAAGTGTCTAGGCCTAGTGATTCAGAGGGGGACCGCGCACGTGTAGATTTTGCAGTCAGATCACAAATCTCTGTATTTCTTGGATCTTGGAGCATTCGATAATTTGTAGCCGCGAACGCCGTGGGAATGGAGCACCTATTCCGATTTTTATCTCCTTTATCTGGATAGTAAATCATCAGAAACGGGTAACACACTAGATCCTCGCAAACGAAACGAGGAAATATCGCGACTTCAACCCTTCCACCTTCGCCCCTGTCCTATCGTTGTACCAATTTCATTTCCGCTTTACTTATTTTTCCATTCGAATTTCACTTTCTCGTTTTTAATTCTTACTTTTCATTCGTCCACGTATTTCTTTTTATTTCATTTTAAAAAAAGTTTCACTTTTCCAACTATTAAAACTTAACACATCTCAACCTTTTCGATCGACGACTCGAGGAATTAGAAAACACTCGAATAATAGGAAAAGAAATTGCCGACAAAAAAAATATAAAGTCTGTTCATCCAATGGAAAAAGGAGCGAAAGATATAATTGCGCAAAGGAGAATGGAAAATTCACCGGATATCATAGTCTGAAACATTATTCGAGTTTATAAAATAAATAATAATTAATCGATTTAAAATGTAAAAAAGCCTACGTGATAAATAAACGTATAAGAAACGTATAGTAATATTTAAGAATACTTTATAAATCTGAATTAAGTAAATCACAGTTAGTTAGTTAAAGTTCATATATACATGCTATACTTTTTTTTAGAGATTCGAGCGAGTTTATTTATTACATAAATAAATAAATTCTTGAAAAATTATATCATAATATCGATAATATCGATAAATACGTCCTCTCCCTTTCCTTCTTTTCACTCGTCCGCGTATTTCTCTTTCATTCCATTTTAGAAAATCGCGCAAAAAACGTTCGAAACACCCGTCTATCATCTCAACGATCTCGCAAACGCGCGAATCTCGTCCAATCCAAGCAAGCGTACAAAAAGAAAAGGACAATATAATATAAACCCACGTTATAGGTTCGTTAATCCGGGAACAGCGCGTTCCCTCATCGGCCATTATCCTGCGTATAAGGATCGTAATAATGTCTTGATAACCCTTCCTCGACCGGTTCCCTTCTCCCCTTCGTATCGCGTTGCGTTAATGAGATGCATCGTTACACGCGTATTGATCTTAACACGCGGCGAATGGCGACGCATCCGTTCATGGATTCCTCGCCGATCGATCGATTAATATCTCGACGAGATAACGCATGAGAACAACGATGGATAAGATTAAAAGTTTGCGTCGCTTGGTGGCGGAGAACGATGATGGATCGATGGAACTTCTTACTCTTTTCTTTCTTCTTTCTTTTTATTCAATTAAGATCGTTTTCCAAAGATCGATTTAAGATTTCGAAAAGTAATAATATATTTATTATATTATCTTTTCCTTTTTATTCGGTATTCAATCGAGATCGTTTGCCAAAGATCGATTTAAGATTTCGAAAAGTAATAATATATTTATATCTTCTCC